AAGGTTTCTGGTGTAGTGAACCGCGAAGGAGGTCTGGGGAGAAAAGCTGCTGGAAGGCCACACGCAAAAAGAAAAAAAAAAAAAAGTGTGCGGAATGGTGCCTTGTGAGAGAAAAAATTCTATGTTTCACGGTTTTTTGCAACTGTGTTTTTAGTAATCTTGCCTTAAACTAATTTTTGAAGTTTTAAAGTTTCTCCTTCTGAAAATGCCCTGGGTCCTTCATGCTCAGTGTATATTCATTATTTAAGCTGGTTAGAAATTTTGCCATATATGCAGGTAACTTTGAGGTCTTTTTTAACCTAAATGGTTAATGATTCTAATGATTCTAAATGATTCTATTTTTATAGTAAATTGGAAAAACTAGGCTAGAGAGTGACTAGTGATCAGGGTTACCTTACAGACGTAACATGCAAGCTTAAGTTCAACAAGGAAATTAATTTTTAAAATGAAACTTCATCGAGTTTATGTTCTGCATTACCTGAGGGGAAAGTTTGTCACTCTCTACAGCTCCCTGGCAGGAGGTTTAGATTAGATATTAGGAAATATTTCTTCATGGAAAGGGTTGTCCAGCATCAGAACAGGCTGTCCAGGGAAATGGTGGAGTCACCATCCCTCGAGGTGTTCAAAAATGTGTGGATGTGGCACTTGGGGACATGATTTTGTGCTGAGTTGATGGTTGAGCTCTAAAAGCTCTAATTTTCCAGTTTCATCCATTGGAAATGGAAATAATGTCCCTCCTTTGCGCTGTCCACTTACCCCCAGGGGTGTGATGAGTTACACAAGAGCACTGACTGTTCACTCCCTGTGAGGCCACCAGGGTGCTCTGATGTTCTCCAAGCGCTGCTAACCTGGATTTGAAGCAGCTCCATGTCATGTGGCAAAGTCTGGAGTCCTCCTTCCCATGGAAACACCTCAGTGCTCCAAGGACATGGTCACATGAAGGTGAGAATCCGCTGTGCTCTGCTGTACCTCAGAGCTGTGTGTGCCTTCCAGCCCAAAATAACCTCACTGGGTCTCCAGCCTGCGTTCCTTGTTCCAAAGTTTCTGTGTTCACCTTTCCTTTTGGGGATGAAGAACTGGTGTGTTCAGTCTCTTTGTTTTTTGCTGTTTGTGAGATTTTTTTGGATTCCATTGGAAGCATCCATGCACTTCCTTTCAGCCAGGTGGTCAAAATGATGTTACAAGTGTTGGGTTTGTTGTTTTTTTCAGGCTTAAAGAGCAACAGTGACTTCAAGACACTTCCATTTTGAAAGGAAATTGTAAAAATGGCATGATAGGACTCTTTTTTTCTTCTCACTGAGGCTGTGTCAGGACTGGCTGCAGCCATCCAAGGGAATATAGCCCTGTATTTGAGGAAATCCTGGGGATCTTTAAAGATCCATCTCTTGCACTGTCCCAGAGCAGGGAAACAGAAAGAAAAGCAATCCTACAAGTCCTGCAAAGTTGGAAACTTGGATTTTAGATTACAGGCTTGGAGGGAAAGTGGTGCTTGGTTTATTTATCACCATTGGTTATATGCTGTCTTCTTGTTCCCCTGCAGTGCCACGAGATAATTAATATTAAAACTTGTTAGTTTACACGTTTCTGATGCATTTAAAATCGGTTAAAAAAGGGCTGTTGACAATGCACCAGGGAAAATAGAATTTAATACATACTTTTTGCATCCAGAATTACTTGGCAAAGCTGATGGTGCACAAGGGACCAGACTCCAAGATGAAAAGCGAGCCTTGCTGGAATGTGAAAGCACAGATTGCACCCTGGATGAATGTGGGCAGGAGCTGGATGAATAAAGAGGTATTAATTCTTCCTGCATCTACCATTGAAATAGAACTGGGCGACTGTTCAATAGCAAAGTAGGATGGAATTAATCTGTTTTACTCATGACCTTTTTTCTTTTCTCAGAAGTGTTAGGGCTTCACTCAGAGCAGCAGTTCACCTAAAAACCCATCTCCAGTATTTGCTGTAAGAGAAGAATAGGTCAAACAAGCTGCTGTGTCACTTCAGCTCCCTCTTTATTGGTGTTTAAGTGAGTGACTCTGAATTCCTCAGCTGTAGGATGTGATTGTTCAATAGGGTCATGAAGCCTCTCCAGAAATATGCAGAATGCAAAGTCCCTGCAGAAAGGAAGTTAAATAAAATACAACCCCCCCACCTTTGTCATGGAGAGAGGAAAAGCAAAATAGAAACCCATGTCTAAGAAAATCCGTTTGAACACCACTCCCCCACAAAACCCACCTTTGTGTTGGATTTCTGAAACAGGTTCCAAACAGCAACTCCAAGTGTGTAGGACAAGATCAGGACATCAATAAATAAGGCTTGTTCTTCATCACAGAGATTTTAATTTATCCTGTCAACATGAGTTAATTAATAATTAAAGAGGGCACTGTGATCCTCGTGTGGGAGGTCCTAGAAAATGAAGAGTCAAGCAGTTGAAGATGCAGCAGGGTGCTGTCTATTAAAAAGCATCTTAAGGGATTTGCTGTATTACTATTATAATTTAAGCTGCAAGATTTTGATGTGCATTTAAGCATTACAACGTGGCATTTCCAATGCAAACATGGCAGGATTGAGTCCCATCAAGTAAATCCAGGGGAAGTAACTGATTATAAACACAAATAAAACTAACACAGATGTCTGATGAAATGCTAAGACTAAGCAAAAAGCACTACTTATATTTCAGTTTCTCTCATCCAAGCTTATTGTAATAATTCTCAGTAAACTTTGGTTTTTAGCCATAGAACTTTCACCACAGCCCTTTCCTTTTAAATTACTTGAGATTTAAATAACTTAATTACTTTTATACAGCTAAAATGATTGCTGTTCCTCAGAACAGAGGGCACTGGAGTTTTCAGAACAGTGCACCAATAGCTGTCCTGCCCATGGACATGTATCATTTGATTAAATGTTTTAATTTTATTTTTGGACATTTAAACTCTGAGTAGAATCAGCTTATTAACCACAGTCTCATAAATTATGATGGATGAGGTGTTCAGACTTGTTAGGAAGTTTTTAGTGATAAAAAGTGCAGAGTTAATATAATAGAAGAGCTTCTCTAGGAAGTGGTATAATTCCTGTTATCTTAGACTTTTAAAATGAGGAGAAAATCCTAAGAGAAAACAGTTTTGGATGTGCATTACTTGATCTAAATATATCTTCTCAGCTTAATGCCATTCATAACAATTTTAGCACTGACCAAAAGTCAGAGTCACCAATAAACTACAATATTTTGTATTTTATAGGGTGACTTGGGTGAGGTTCTAAAGGAATTGAGAAACTGGTACAGAAAATAAATCAGCTCTCCGGGATTTTGGACAGCTGGGATTTGGGAGACCTTCAAGCCCCTTTCAGTGCTAAAGGGGCTCCAAGGAGCTGGAGAGTGACTTTGGATGTGGCATGGAGTGACAGGACAAGGGGGAATGGCTTCCCACTGCCAGAGGGCAGGGTTAGTTTGGATGCTGGGAAGGAATTCTTCCCTGTGAGGGTGGTGAGGCCCTGGGACAGGCTGCCCAGAGAAGCTGTGGCTGCCCCATCCCTGGGAGTGTCCAAGGCCAGGTTGGATGGGGCTTGGAGCAACTTGGAATAGTGGAAGGTGTCCCTGCCTATGGCAGGGGGGAGGAACAAGATGATCTTTAAGGTCCCTTCCAACCCAAACCATTCTGGAATTCTAGCTGGTGATCTTCTGACTCTGCATCTTCTCTTGACTTTTCCATGTGGGAAGTCTGGTCCTTCTCACATGAGTTTTGTGTTTAATGCAGCTGTGCTGTCTTGAACTTCATCTTTCCAAGGCTGATGTTGGTTTTGCCGTATGACAGATCACTCTAAGAGTTCAAGTGGACAGGCATTTGGAATTAGAGTCAAAACAAAGTCAAACCAGGCTGAAATAAACTGTGTTCCGGTCTAGCACAACATTAGCCCTTAAATAAATAGTGAGGAGCCCGGGCTGTCTGTAGGGCAGATGGCATTACAGGTAATATTTATCATGCTCCAATCTCAGGACTAAGATACTTGGGAGAGAGGATTGACGTCAGCTCCAAGTGAATCAGTTTTAAAACCAGCTGAAAACCTGCTTGTGCCTCCAACAGTTGATTATATTGTGCAGCACTTCTGCTTTGTGCATTTGTTGGTCTGAGCAAGCCTGGCAGGAAGAGTTCATTTTGCTTTTGCAGCTTAAATGGGCTGATGTAAATAGATCTTGGACTTTGAGGTGGGAAGATTCCACCCAGCTGCAGTAACCAGGGGGATGCCCTTTGCTCCAGTTTTTGTGCCAAATTTGTGCACTGGGGAATTTTAAACAAATATCACTTGGCAGAACATGGACCCTCAGGGTACAAGAAAAACACCGGCATGAGGCAGCAGGGCATGGGCTGGGAGGGATTTACAGGGAGAACTATCCACACTGACACTGAGCAGGGGGAACAACCAGTTCTGAACTGTTTTATTAAAAATAGTTGAGTTTTGTGTCACAGGAGCCCAGTGATCCTCTGAATGAAAACCAGGAGCAGTTTCTCATCCGGCTACAGTGTGCAGGAGTGTGAAAGAGTTCAGCAAAGGTTACTAATTATCATGTAAATTATGAGGTCTTCTGGCTGTCTGGACAGACCTGGGTGGCTGGCCTGGGATAGAATCATAGAATGATGGAATCACTAAGGTTGGAAAAGACCTCCAAGATCAAGTCCAACCTTCAACTGAATACCCCCATAGCCACTAAACCATATCACAAAGTGCCACATCTCCTTGTTTTTTGAACACTTCACAGAATGATGACTCCACCGCTTCCCTGCAGAGCCCGTTCCAAGGATTTTCAAGGTTTTCCAAGGATTTCCAAGGATGGAGGAGTGTGAACTGCTCACGGTGTGCCTTGGCTCTGGAGCCCTCACTGAAACATGGAGTTCTGCTCTGCCAAGTGTGTTTGTCAGCCCTGAGCTCACACCAAGTTTCTCAGCCCTGTGAGTCAGGGCTGGTGGGCAAAGAGGCATGGAAAGCATCCCATCCAGCTCTGGGAATTGGGATGAGGCATGGAGAGCTTGAGTTTAGCTAGAAGTGTGGGGGGGCTCCCAGGCTGAGCAGCACAGCCCAGCTGCTGTGGGACACACCACCTTGCACTACGATGAGCTGCCTCAAGGTCACTGTGGGCAAAGGTGCAGAAAAAGGGCTTAGGCCAGGCTGGACTTGTCCTAGAAAGGACGTGGACAAAGAGGAGGAAGATTGAGACTGAGGGAAGGGAAAGAATGATTCTGTGGGGGAAACTCTGAAAATATGTACTTCCCTTTCCTGATAAAGTCACAGAGGGCGAGGCACTGAGGAGAGCTACCTTGTTTGTCTGCTCTCACACCCTGACAGGCCTGGGCAGCAGCACCCCCTTATCTCCACCACGTTGGCACATGTGGCTGTGTTCCCTAATTCACCAAACGGGGACTGGGCTGCTCCTTGTGCTCCCTCCACTCTCCTTCTCCCTGTTCTAACAGGAGCATTAATTTTTAATAACTTTGGATACAATTTCAGCTCCAGCTGGAAAACTTTCATGCTTTGCTTAAGCCTTTAGCAGTGTAAGGGGAAAGACGTTGTCTCTGTTAAGGTACAGAGAGAGTGAAATGCCTCCTGTGTGACAAAGATGGTGCTTCAGCAGCATTCCCATGGGCTGGGTCCATGGAGTGTGGTTCTTCTGTTCACTGCAGCAGCTCGGGGTGCAGGTTTCACACCTGCCTGTGCCGTGTTTACACCCCTGTTTGTTACTTAAGTTATATAAGTGGCAGCAGCCTCTTGATGTGTGTGTACACAGAGGAATTAAATTAATTTGCAGAGCTGCATGCTGGGAACCTCCAAAGGGACAACAGGCCCTTTTGCACACCCACGAGCAGCACAGAGAACTGAGCTGTGGGAAACAAGGAATTGGGTCTTTTTGAACCCACTGGGTTTCTATAGCATTGAAGCTGTTGAACTTGTGCAGGGGGACAGCTGAGAGCTTTGTCTCTCTCACCTACAATTAACTTTTTTTTGTTAACTCACCTACGATTAACGTAGTTTTAGTGGGTTTTGAGTGATGACTGCATGCCATGGCCACGTCGTGAGGGTTTTATTTGGCATTTCACGTTCCTTACCCAAAATGGGTTTAACTCCCAGCACTCCCATGGATTTCCACAGAAATCTATCACGCACTTCCACAGAAACCTCTCCTGCCAGCCCTCTCACGAGCTGGCTCCGTCCCTAAACCAGCAGGGCGAGTCACCCTTTCAAACCCACATTTTTGCGGGGCGTGACTCCCATCGCTGTCCCCGGGCACCCGGAACGCG